AAGTCATGCTTCCTTGCTTATATCGGTTCATGATCGTGTTTTTCTCAAATGGCGGCGCTTTCTCAGGTTATGCATCGTGTGTGTTTTGTAGATGACTGTGGAGAACATACAACGAGCAGTGGCAGCAGCAAGTACCGCAAATTCCATGGAAGAGACCGCAGTGGAGGATCTGCTCAGAATCCCGACTCATCACCTGCTGCCCATTTTCCTCATGGCTTTCATTCTCTTAATTTTGCTCGCTGCAATTCTGTACGACTGCAAGGCGGACAGGGATCGCTGCAGGTCATTTTTTCAGCTTACAAAGCCAAATCAATTTGAAATTCTCAAAATGCATTTTGTTTGGAAACAACAGGTATCCATTTTAGAAAAAAAGAGCCTGAAATAAGCTGCGTCTGGCACATTAAGCCACTGGATTGTCTGGAAGGACTGTAGAACTTCGAACGCTACTAATTCCAGGACACCTTGGGTTCAGACCGCGATGAGGACACTGATCAAAGGTCTTGTGTGATTCGTGTTCTCACCATTACACGCGAAAATTGATTTCATCCAGCCTTGAGCTATTCTTCGAAATGTCATAAACTTGATGAATATCTGCATCTAAGCCGGCTGGACTGACATTTCTGTTCCTACCAGGATCTTTCCATTTTAAGGAATTGCACCAAACTCTAAATATCATTACTGTTTTGATAGCATCTTTATTTTCGGGGAACTCATGCTTGGGTAAATTGTGAAATTTGTAATTACTGTCTCGGAAAAGCCCTTCCCTGCCTTTTACATTTCGACGCTGCAAGTGCTTACAAAGGTTTCACCTGCTCAATCACTTGATAATTTCATGAATGCATATTTTTTGCAATAATAAATTTATAGAAGAGATATGTATATCTTTTAGCTCAATTTCGTGGTAGAAATTTTAGCTGGAAAAAGAAGCTGGTTTTTCAGGAAACGTTCGGGGTCGGAATCGGACAAAACAGGTGTCTATTTGTATGATGGAGAAACAGGCGAGTCAAGGATATACACCGAATGAACATCCAAGACTTGATTTTCACTGTTCATTTCTCTGTATATCTACGATTAACCATGCGTTTGAGGTCAACCTTGTGGGTTGAATCCCGTCTGCCTGCATAATCTTCCTTTCCGGTCAATTTGGACTAAACTTGGGATGATTTTGCAAATCACTGATGACGATTCCCAATCTTTCTTTCCGATCATTTTTCTGCGGATTTCATTTTGTTTGGATACTAATTTTAGTCATTCTGGACGAACCAGCTCGACTTCTACACCCATTCTGACAAAATATGCGCATGGATGTTGCGCTGAGCAACGGAAATACCGTATTTTTTCTGACATCAAAAATGCCAAAAATAGCCCGGGCATTCGGTTTGGGGATCGCATACTTCATAATTTCGGTTGGATATCATGCGCCCTGTACACTGAGCTGCATACTTCTAGTTAGTACCCATAACTTTTCGATGCACGTGCGCCATCCCTTCCGGGATTGCTTAAGTAACCGTTAACTTTTTCGTGAGTAGCATCTGCTGATACAGTAAACGAAAATGCCCCGCCAATAAGACATTGTTTTCTCGTATGGTCGCAGTGATATCCTGCACGCTTCTTGTCAGACAAAGAAGCTAGTTGCCTATGTGGTTACAGAGAGATACTCCAAGTATTCTTCGCTCCACTGCTCTTTCGAACACAGCCAGCGTTTT